TGCTGGGGGAATGTTACATGGTGCAAGTGCCTTGGAAAAGTTCCTCAACGAGTTAAAATACAGTCACCCTATGAGCGAGCAGTTCTACTCCTTGGTTCACCTAACTGAGAAAATGGAAATCTATGCTCACAAGAGCTTGTACACAAATGTACAAGTATTCAGCAGTATTTAAGATAGCTAAAAAGTAAAGAGCCTGTACACAAATGTACAAGTATTCAGCAGTATTCAAAATAGCAAAAAGTAAAGAGCTTGTACACACATGTACAAGTAAACAGCAGTATTCAAGATAGCTAAAAAGTAAAAATAACCCAAAGTCCACTAAATGGTAAACAGGTAAACAAAACATGGTACATCTATAGGATGGATTATTATCTGACCATAACAAGGAATGAAGTTCTACCACATTTCCCCCAAAATAACACCTCGCTGGAAAATAATCAGCCTTGAAAAGTAGAGATCAACAACGCCAGCCCCAGTCCGCCTGACATCGGCCTATCTGCTTTACGGAGCAGCCACAGAGCAAGAGAACAGCGACGGCAGGTAAGACAGGGGTGGGCTGACTGGGCTGGGATTCTGCAGCGCTAGTTTTCAAGAGAGGTTCTTTCCCAGCTAGATCTTATTTCGGGGAAAGAGGGTAATACCTGCTACAGCATGGTGAATCTTGGAAACACTGAGGAGGGCCGGGGGTTTAGCTCAGTGGTTCTGCTGCCTTCCTCTCAAGCACAAGGACCCCGGTACCAAAAAACAAAACAAAATGAAAACACTGAGGTTAGTGAAAGAAGCCAGTTACACAGGACCACAATACCGTACGGCTCTGTTTACGTGAAGTGCCCAGAATAGGCAAGTCCGCAAAGACCATGAAGTAGATTAGTGTCTTCCAGGACACACGGAAGAAAAGAATGGAGAATAATTGTTAACAGCCAAGGGATTGTTTTGGGGATGACAAAAATGTCCTGGAAGTAGATAGTGATGCTAGTTTTACAACCTTGTGATATGAGGAGCTACTGAATGGTGTTCTTTAAAATGTCAATTTTCTGGTGTGGAACTGAGATCTCAGAAAAGAACTTAAAATGGGGTCCCTTTATGTAAATAAGATGTTTATGCACAGGGATAAATGCATACACGTTCTCTTGTAGGAGTCTGTTACCTTCATGGGAGAACACTCTCCATTTGTATTTCTATATGGATTGACATTTTTCTGTAGTATAGATGACTTTCTTTCATGTAAAAAATATTTTAAACTTCATTTAAAAATTATTAGGTGATTCAGTAATACAGGAGATTTCTACAAAAATATGCCATTATGATCCCATTTTTAGAAAACTTAAGTAGATGTTTCCAACATTACATCAAAAGTTGCTGTGGTTCAATACCATTAGAACTTCAAAAGCAGTAAACCTACCATAATTTTATTAGAGAAGCCTACCAGCTGGGGGAGGACAGTGACTCATTCATTAATAATCATTAGCAGTCAGTCGCTTACCGTGCACCTTGCAGTGTGCCGAGCACTTTACCTGAATTATCACATTTGAACAACCACCTTACGATGGTGACCTTCTCCCAAAGCAGGATGGGACTCGCCCAAGGAAAGTGGTTTCTATCAGTCATGGGAGCATAGAGGTTATTTCTACCTGGCACACCCTCCCCACCCTTTTCAAAGACTTGGCTCAAATCCACCTAAGCAACAACTTCCAAAGATCCTGGGCGTCCCTAAATGTTATTCAGAACCCAATCACAGCAGCAGCCACTTGGCACTGTCATCAGAGGCTCCATGGAGACCCTAAGTAGGTTGAACATGGTTTGCACATCATGGGTCGCACTGCCAAGCAGCAGCACACAATGGCTGAGTTAGTACCAACTCAACACCTGTCTCTCTTCTAAACTTTTTGCAATGCCATTACCCTCATTCTATCTTCTAACTGCCCCGATCACTGACCCGGGGTAATACTCCCCTTCTTCAGCTGGGGGGAAACTGGCTGGAGAAGGAATTTCCTCCTTAGTGCCTGGCCTTTGACTTGTGTTCATGACAGCTTGCTCTGCTTCTCCCAGGCTAACGTCAACCAGAGAAGGATGGGGACTTAGATAGACCTACCTTACCATAAGGCCGGAACACCTGCACAGTCATCCCCTGGTGTCCAAAGGGGACTGCTTCCGGGACCTCTCAGGACACCATGATCTGAGGATGTCCAGGCCCCTTAGATAAAATGGTGTAATATTTGCATAGAACTTACACACATCTGCCTGTATGCATTAATGTCTGAACTATAATACCTAATGTAATGGAAATACTCTGAGAATAGTGTGATACTACAATGGCAAGGGGCAAAGTCTATATATTTAGGACACAGTTTTTTCAAAGGTTTTTGATCCATAGTCGGTTGAATCCCTGGGTATAAAATTTTTGAGATTCACATTAGTTTTATATATATATATTTCTTTAAAGCAGTTTTAGGTTCATAGAAAAATGGAGCAGAACGTACAACCCCCATTCCCAAAACACAACCATCCCACTATCAACCCAATCACTGTGGTGCCATTTAGTGTAACTGCTAAACATACATGGACTCGTCATTATCACCCACAGGTTATATTAGGGTTCATCTCTGCTGTTGTGCACTGCAGTAGTTCTGTTTCTCAGTATTAAAATCGCCCGGCACAGGCCAACTTTACAAAGGAATGGAGTTCAGTTAGCTCATTTCTGTGGATTCCAAGTCCAAGACCGTCCACACTATTTGCTGGGCTCCTGGTGAGGGCTGAAAGGCGGATGATGTCATATCCTCACGGGGGCGTGTGTGGGAGCAAAGATCATACCCCCCAAAGGACAGGAAAGTCACAGTGCAAAACAGGAAGCCAGGGAGAGCCAAGTGGAGCCGGGCTCTCACCTGTTTATAGTGATCCTTTCCCGTGAACTAAAGGTCGCACAAGATCTACTTTAATCCCTCTGTAGGGCTTGTCCCCAGCTGCCCAAAGGACCCCGCTAGGTTTTGCCTCTTAACAGTCCTACTTCCTGATGTCATCACACTGCAGACCCAGCCTCCTTTCTTTTGAGAGGAAAAACAGCGCCCAAAGCACTGTGCACATCCTGGGGGAGTTGGCAGACGGAGAGAAGGCGTGCAGCTCCCATCACGCCGAGTGGCCTTGTTGCCCTCTGACTTCTTCATCCCTCCTTTCACCTTGACGTCTGACAGCTACTGACCTTTTGACTGGCTCCACAGTTTCACCTGTTCCGGAATGCCCTGTGCATGGAGTCATACAGTACGTGGCCTTTTCACATTGGCTTCCTTCACTCACTAATATGTGTTTAGGTTTCCTCTATGGCTTTCCCAGGCTTGACAACTCACTCCTTTTCAGTACTGAATGACATTTCATTGATGTTCCAGTTTATCCATTCCTCTACTGAAAGACATCTTGGCTGCTTCCAGGTTTTGGCAATTATCGATTAAGCTGTCATTAACCTCCATGAGGATGTTTTTATGGGACTATATATTTCATCTCTTTGTGGTAAACATCAAAGAATGCCACTGCTGAAACTTAGGGAAAGAGTATATTTAGTTTTGTAGAAAACTGTGCGAGTGTCACCTGTACCATTACACATTCCCACTAGTAATGGGAGTTCCTGTTGCTCTACTGCCTCAGTAGCATGTGATGCTGTTGGTGGTTTAAATTTTAGCCATTCCCATGGTTTATATTAACCATTTTTAAAAGCTTAACTGTCTAGATAAGTATGGGATTTGTGAGGTGAATAAAAGATTATAGCTCTGTTCTATATCCTTCTCCTTTCCATCTCTACTATGCAAAACGTATTTCGTGGATTAAAAGCAAAAAGGTGACAGCATTCGGGAGACTGAGGCAGGAGGATCGCTGTGAGTTGGAGATCAGCCTGGGCTACATAGTGAGTTCCAGGTCAGTCTCAACTACATAGTGAGACCCTGTCTCAAAAAATAAAAAAAGGTGGAACTAAGTGACCAGTAGCAATACAGAGGTCAGAGCTCCTAATTGGTCTCCAATTCTTATTCAAAAAATTTATTTTTCTCATTTGGAAATTAAACTGGAGATCAGACATTTGTAGGGGGAATAATTACGATCTCTCTAGGGGCCTTACTACATTTTGCACATTAAGAGTGAGTTAATATGTTCTCCAATGAAGGCAGAGCAAGTTGTCCTCCTACAGAATCCAGGACTTTGCATCCAGGTTTTTAGCTGCATTCCAGGAATGTGTAACGAAAGTATCAGATACTTCCTTTTATGGTAATGGGGATGGAACCTAAGATCTTCACACCGATATCCCAAGACCCTTTTATTTCTTCCATCGGAGACAGGACATCTAAGTAGCCCAGGTTGGGTTGCAACTTGCAATCCTCCTGTCTCAGCTTCCTGGAATGCAGAGATTACAGGTTGCAACACCAGGTCTGGGCCATAGTTCAAGTTTTTAGTCACAATCAGTTTAATTGGCTCTTACTAATGGAAGGACTGGGTTTTTTCTGAGGAAATTAATCTTTATTCTTAGAGGAATTTCTGAATCTGTGGATTGCCGAAGCCTTTCATGAGTTTACCTGACATGTTAACCATTCCTTGATATTTACAACAGGAAGAGTTTGTAGTGTAGGGAATATAAGAGTAAAAATTATCTTGAAGAATGATATTTTTAATCTCTTAAAAGTAGAAACATGAAATTTCACCTTTTACAGCAAGACCATCCTGGAACTGCCATTCCTCACCAGTACATACATCACACACATCTATTCAAGCATGAAATCTCACCAGTAAGAGTCCACGGCGTTGTGGTTTCTGTCCTCTGTCTAACGCTCCCTACATTCTGCTTTAACTGGCTTTGTGGAGGTGGAGATTCCATGGCGCAGCCAAAGGAAATGCAGACTGGGCAAGGCTTGCGTTACCACACTCATGAGCACTCTGCTCCCCGGGGCCACTGTGCGGGGAACCTGCTGTTGCTGATCCCAGGAACACCCTTGCCTTCTTAGGCCTCCTAATTTGTATTTCTCCCCTGAGATCAGCTCGTGTCCTCGTGGAACTCTGTATGTACTAGATCCCCCGTGGAATGAGACAGAGGGATAATAAAGTTACTGGGACAGCCAACTGGGCCTTTGTCATAGCTTTCGTACATGTCTCTTCCCGATCCTCACCCCTACTACAGGGGATTCAGTTTGTGGCCTTGTGCTTTCTAGGCAAGTGCTCTAGCATGCAGCTACATGTTCAGCACTTGATTTATTTTTTTTTTAGATTTTAAGTCAGGGTCTCTCTAAATTACCTAGGTAACCTCAAACTTGATTCCCCACCCCTGCTTCCTAAGGCACTGTGATTACAGCATGAGCCATCATCCTTAGACCCTAGCTCAGGCCCTGGCACATAAAAGACTAAAAAATTTGAGAGGCAGCACAGAGTATTCATTTAAAAGCAAAAACTTTGGAATCGGATGAATTTCCACGTTCACATTCTTAATTGGTTAACTAATCTTATCCTGTTGGTTAATCTAAGATTCTATTTCCTCATGATTAAACAGGAATAAAACATCAGCCCGAGAGGTAGGTGAGAAGCACCAAATAAAACTTTAAGTAAAGTGCATAGTGCCTAACGCATAGCTGGTGCTAATGAATGGTGGCTATTACTTATAAGAACAAGTCAAAGGAGAATGGAAGAGGAACACGTTCCCCAGGCTGTGATCACCCCACTGCACACAGGAGTCAGGGAATGGGGGAACTCTTACCAGCGACAGCATAGAGGCATGCATTGATATCCGGTGCACACACTACGGAAACAGTGCAGTTACGATTGTGGGAAGGACACTCATAGCAAGTCAGGCCGAAACCTAGAATTAAGAAGAAAGTATGTTAAAGCAGCAATAATTGACCCCCTGGCCGTAGAACAGAGATCTCTGACTGCAGTAGTATCGGGTGGGATCAGCTCTTCTCCCAAACTCTGAGTTCCTGAAAATCAATTATGCCTATGAAGAACACAGTAAGTATTCAGACCACCTACCCATGGTGGTCACACCTGTAATATGAGCCTTCTGGTCCAGAGGAGGGAGGACTGCCATGAGTTCAAGGCCAGTAGGTGCTACAGAGTCAGTTCAAGACCATCCTGAACGACATGGAGAGATCCTGTCTCAAAAAACTAAACCACACCAAATTAAAAGCAAAAACTATTCAAACCAGGAAGTTCTTGATCAGCTGATTACCTAAAAGGAAACAAACGGTCATCAATGCCCTTTACCCTGAGAAAGCAATGGCACCTAAGGCAGAAATTCAGGAAAGCTACCCAAAACCTTCAAGACCACACTGGATGTCATCTTTGTATTTGGATTCAGAACCCATTTCGGTGATGGCAAGACAAATGGCTTTGGCATGGTTTATGATTCCTCGGATGATGCAAAGAAAAATGAACCCAGGCCTAGACTTGCAAGACATGATCTCTCTAAAAAGAAACAGAACTCGGAGAAATTAGTGAGGCGAGAGCAAGAACAGAAGAAGAAAGTCAGAGGCATTGCAGAGGCAATGTTGGCACCGCAAAAGGCGGGGGTAAAGATTCTGTGGTGATTTTATCTGGGCATCTCGAGGATTTTCACAGTAGGATTAATGCCCTGTAAGAACACTCTCCGAATGGAGGCAGGTCAGAGATCCCTGTTGCCCTTCCAGTCCCTCACAGATGTACAGTAGTTCCACATTTCCAAGCTCCAACTACAGTTCCAGTAATGTATCTGGGGCCCTGGAGCAAGTGCAAAGGGAATATCCACATTCCAAAAT